GGCTGTTTGCTTTGCTGCTGGCTGGAAAATGCCACCCTGGAAGGGTTAAGATTTTACACTTGACTTTCCAGCAGCCATCCATGCCCATTTCCACATCCCAGCCAGCACACTTGGCTGAGTGGGAGGAAGTCACCTGATTTCAACTCAGCTTCTGCCATGAGATGAGCCCAGGTGTCTTGGACACTCCCTTTCCCTCCCCCCCCAGCCATCTGCTGCCTTCTGCAGAGGCACAGTCCCAGGGCCATGCAGCTGGCAGAGCGATCCATTCCTTTGGCCCACAAACTCATCCCAGATCCTGGCTGCATCGACGGGCTAGCAGGAAGCTGGATTGCGGAGAGCCAGTCGGAGCTGGGAAGACTCACTTCCACAAACTCAGCATCTCATTCTCGCTGTCCACAGCTTGGTTATCAGTAGCTGGAAAAGACATTATCCCATTACCTCTGCTTCCAGCTGAGGCAGTAGTGGCAGTGTGCTCCTGCCTGCAAGTCTCACACATCAAGTGGCTGCTGGGTAGAATGGCAGATACATTTATTGGTTCCATATTAAGTGCCCTGCAAGTTTATACCACCTCTTGCTCCTGTGTTATAGGCCAAGATGCAGAATCAGGGACTGCTGAACTTCTGCTATTTGCTTTAGAGTGTAAAAAACAATCTCACACTCAGACCCACTCCACTTTGTGCCACCACCACAAGCGGTGCTGCACTTTACAGACTGCCTTTCCCCAGAGGACCTCAGTGATGCAAAGGGGAGCATTAGGCTAAGGCTACACTAGAGTTTACAGCTGCGCCATTGTAAGCTCTCTAGTGTAGCTGCTCTAAGCTGACAGGAGAGAGCTCTCCCATCAACTTAATTAATCCACCCCCAATGAGTGGCTGTAGCTATGTCGTGGGAGAAGCTCTCTCACCACCATAGCACTCTCCACACTGGTGCTTCGGTTAATGTAACTTAAGTCGCTCGGGGGGTGGCTTATTCACACCCTTGAGTGACAAATTATTCTGATCTAAGTGGTAGTGTAGACACAGCCTTAGCCCCATTTTAGAGGCACAGACAGAGGCTAAGGCCAACATTTTCCAAACTTGGATTCTTAAAGGTGGGCACCTATCTAGAAGACACCAGACTCCCCAGAGGTGCTAAACAGTCCAGTTTCACTGGGTTCTGCAGGTGCTCTGTCACTGAGATGGGTGCTGTTTATTTCATTTGACCATTCGGTGCCCAAACTGGCCTACAGTGACTAGCCTCAGTTCCCCAGCCTCTCTTACCACTTCTCCAGCCTCCCTTTCTACCCCAGCTTCTCCTCAGGCTCCCACCCTTTCCTGTCTCCCCCACATCCCCTTCAGGAGGTCCTACCTCTTCCTCCAAGACCACACAGCTAGAACAGAGCTCCTGATTGCTCCTAAGCCCTCTGCATTCTCAATCCACCAGCCTCCTCGCTTGCCAGGCTTACGTTCCAGGGGTTATTTTTTCTCCTCTCTGTGCACAGATTGAGGCTGTTGTCAAATCTCCCCACTACATCTCATTAACACATCCCTGCCGCACTCATCTTTAATGAGCAGTCACCTGAGTTATTTACCTCCTTCTCCCATCCATCCAACTGCAGCAGTTAAAATCAGCTTCATTGCCTGCTGCTCGGACCATGCTGCTCTCCTTCACTGCCCCCTCATCACCTACTAAATCAGCTGCAACATCCCTGACCTCTAAGACACTGCACAATGCTGCCCAGGTTTCATATTGTTCTCACTGACCAACACATGCTCCCTTCTCACTACTACTGCCCACCACCAAGCTCCTCTTTTTCATTCTCCCTCTCTGATCTTCATGATCTCTTCCAGGCTGTCCTCTATGGCCAGACTGACCCCCCTTGCCCAGTGCTCCAGGCCTCCACACTTCCTCCTTTAAACCTTCCATGGGGGGAGGGATAGCTCAGTGGTTTGAGCATTGGCCTGCTAAACCCAGGGTTGTGAGTTCAATCCTTGAGGGGGCCACTTGGGGATCTGGGGCAAAAATCAGTACTTGGTCCTGCTAGTGAAGACAGGGGGCTGGACTGGATGACCTTTCAAGGTCCCTTCCAGTTCTAGGAGATGAGATATCTCCATTAATTAAAAAAAAATTATTATCTCCCCCCACACCATCCTCTGGGTAACTCAGGGCATTCTTATTAGTCTTTCAACTTTTGGGTGGTAAGCTTCTTGGGGAAGGCTTCTCCATCTTCACACCCTGAACTGCACCAAAAATCAGCTTTTAATAATCAAGACTTGGCAATAGGACATAGCATGTCTGCCTTCTAGCTCTAACCATTGGAGAACACTGCACCAAGACAGATTGCAGCTACTGTCCCCAAGCATCTGCCCCTTCCTGAAAGGAATATCCCTATCAATACATTTCAGTCCACTGGTATTTGAACACTCGGGACTGTATCTGTCTCAGTCATGATTGTATTTTTACACATCACGTTTCTGTATCTATTTCACTTTGAAAAGTCAAACCAGAAGGCTTCATAAAAATCCCTTCCTATGTTTACCTCACTTTTACCATGAACATTCACTAGCCAATTCTTGGGTGTTCCAAAGTCAGTTGCCACGACGGCTAGTCAGATTCACTCAAGTTAAATCCAATGGCATCCCACGCAAAGGGCCAGTTGTAATTACAACTTCAGTAACTGGAGCCTTTTTACCTGCATTTTCAGATGCCCTCCAAGCCAGGAGCCAGAAACGTCTTTTACAGTAAGACCAGCCTGTTTTATTACCTCCATGAAGTCCTAACCCACCGCTGCAGTGGCCTGTTGGCCCTTCCATAGGGCAATCCAACCCAGTTTTAGCCACCAAGAGAGATTAAAACAAAGAAATGCCACAGAGCTGAAAACACATACATTTTTTAAATGGAGAAACAGTGGTCAGGATGGGCCAGTGGTTAGGGCTAGCATGGGAGACCCAGGCTCAATTCCCTACTCTGCCACAGACTTCTGTGTGACCTTGGGCAAGTCACTTAGCATCTCTGTGCTCAGTACCCATCTGTAGGATAGGGATAATAGCACTGCTCTAGCTCAAAGAGGTGTTGTGAGGATACTTACACTAAAGACTGGGAGGTGCTCTGGTACCACAGTGATAGGGGCCAGATGAAGTACTTTAGATCTCACTCAGTCCAACAGCAAGGTAAGAAGATGGGCAGAGTCATTCTCTCCAGCTCCTATCTTCTCCACTCAGGATGATAAAAAGGGACAGTTCATAGGGTCAAGGATAGCTATGCACCAATTTACACTACGCAAGTTTTATAGTGGTGCACGGAGTCACAAACATATTGCACAAACCTGGGGCAAACTTACAGAGAACCTAGTCTGTATGGCTCCCACAGCGCTTCTGTGCCCAGCTCCAAAGTGCCACCAGAGCTTGCCAACCACAGCACAAGAACCAGTGTGATACAGGGACACAAGGCTTGCAGTGAGGGAAATGGTCAGTTCTCGTTTCGTTACCAGTGAAGATGAGGCTTTAAATCCTAGCGGCCGCCTTGCCCCTCTGGAGGGTATGTGTCAACCCTGTGACACAGATCCAAGAGAAAAAACTATACATGATGGGCTCCAGATCAAGATTAGTGGTCACAAATAAGGGTATTAAAAAAGCCCCATGCTCCCAACACCCTATAATACTCAGAAGACAGAGGATAGAAGCCACACAACTGGTTAGGTCAGGTGACATTTAATAGATTGCTTTCAAGTATACAATGGTTTATTTTATTGATGGGTGGGGATAATTAAGGAAATGCACAAACTTATGATGATAGCAAAGAATAACTTAAAACTAGTGGACAGGGCATTTCTCAAAGGAAATTAACGCTTACAGCTGAGGAGTAGAAAATCATAGCAGGGTTTAAATCTCACACACACACGAGAGCAGCACATTTAGGAGTCTGCATGAGATCATTCACTTTTTAAACTGGCAACTCAGACTGCAATAGCAGCAAGCCTCAGCTCCTCTTTTTCCACAGCTCACCAGGACTTGTAGTTAACCATCTTTCCCTTCCCAAAGTAGATATCCTCCCTATTAAAGTTTGAGGGGAAATGAATGGGAAACTTTCCTACTTTCAGAACTGAAAACAGTTATTTAGGTGCCTAAACTTTATATGCAAACGTATGAATTCTGGGCTCTTCAGCTTTCAGAAGAGAGGAACAAGGAAACAATGTAGGATTTCAACAAGAGAATATTAAAAGTAGGTCGAGTTCTCACCATAAGGCAATCTTGGTACAAACCTTCCCCCAGTTTATCTGAACTATAGGTTAGAACAGTAGGGCCTATTCTACAACCAAACCACACAGTGGCACTGCTTCCTGAAGATAACTGCGAAGGCAGAACTGTGCATGATACTGCTGTCAATACAAGTTGTGAAAAGAGAGATAATTAAGCATTTTAGAGAAGTAAACAGCCCCCAGCTTACCTCTGTGGCAACACCCAGGAGCATCTCAAAACTGGCAGGATAGCTCAGCAATGTCTGGTTTAGATGGTGCTTTGCTCAGTAACATGAAGAGACCAACTCTGAAATCTGGAAGCCATCTGCTCCTGGGAAAATGCCTCTTTTAAAAGAGTTAGTAATTCTGCATCCTGACATTAGCTGCCTCAATTGTACTTATTTTTAGTCTCCTGCATTTGTCAATGAAGAGAATTTGAATCCCGTTAACTAATATATACACACTATACAAAAAAAAAAAATAAGATTTTAAGCAGATAAATTCAGACATTTAAAAGTATGCCTCTGGAATTATTTTGTCCATCTAGACTACTGAACTCTGAGGTAGGCTCCGGGAATTGAGTTAGTAGCCCTCTGGGCTAGCAGAAACATGATGGAGGTCCTAAGCATGATGAACACTGTTTACAAGTTAAACATTCCCAAAGCAGATCACTAACTCTCCCCAGCAGAATTATGTAAAAATCCATGTCTTTAGCCAAGAGCCTTTGAAAATTCTGGTGATCAAACGATTCTAAATTTAAAAAAAAATATGGTAACAATAGTCATTTTACTCAAATAAATCACATCTTTAATTATCTTCAAAGAAGCCAAGGGCAACCATTGAACTCCATGTACTACTTGAATGCTGCAGTGTTCTCCACTGAAAGTAACTTAAAGTGACTGCTGTTTTAAAACTGTATGTCTGAAGGACAACAATGGAAGACAAGTCACAATTTAATGACAGATTTCATCCAGTGGGTGAGGTAACTTACACAAATTAAATTAACAGATTCACCCTTTAGCACACAGGAGGTTGTTACAGTTATTGAATACAGTCATGGAAAAAGTTCAAAAGTTGAATAGTCTTGAACTGCTTTCAAAAATTGTGATGGCTTTTAAAAAAGTTCCAATAAGCAACACTTGTATAAAATCAAGACGGACTGGCTTCTCTGTTAGGGGAGCTGGGGCTGTTCCAGGCTCCTCGGACCACTGGTACAAAAAGGTGGCTGATTTTCATCTCCCACCAGTCCATTACAGGCTCTGATTTATTAAAATGTTCTTGGATTTATTGAAGACCGGAATGGGAGGCAAGGGCTGCAGACTGTCAGTCGTAGTGGATGGCAGTGTAAAAGATTATCCAAACAACCTGAAGAGGGGACAAACAAGGAGAGAAAGTGAAGGTTAATCAAGCCACTGTGGAAAGGTTTCAAACATTTATCGCCCTCCCCATTATCACAAAAAAGAATGAATTTTTCAATAAGCCGTGCTAGTGCTGTGAGTGGTGCTAGAGCACAACCACAAACAGAATCCAAGGTGCAACTCCATGGGGTAAGTCATTTTTACCATCAGAAATCCATCACTGTTTTCAGTAAGAGGCCCCTCTACTGGACAGGAAACTAAATTTCAACTTTGGGGCCACTGCGGACAGCTATAAGGAATGTGACATACCTCAGACTGGTGCAGTCTGCCATCTGATTGGCTTGGAGTCCTACCATGCCCCACACTGAAGTGCCACCAAAGAATCTATGCCTGCTTCAAAACACCCCCAAATGGGATGACAGGTATTTTGGGGGGGGGGGGAAGAGGGGAAAGGAGGGGGGAATGCATAAAAGAAAAATATTTTAAAGGTGCAGTATTACTGACTCATAGCAGAGATCCTGAAAGATAAGGGCAGTGAATTCAAAATAACAAATGCCACAGCTCTAGATTAAACCCTGATGGAGATGGGGAGCACATTTTAAAAATAAAGTTGCACTGCCATCATCATAGAACCATAGGGTTAGAAGAGTTTAGTCAAACCCCCTGCCAAGATGCAGGATTTGTTGTGTCTACACCATCCAAGACAGATGGCTACCCAGCCTCCTTTTGAAAACCTCCAGTGAAAGAGACGGCCTATTGTGGAAGCTGTTCCATTGTCCCACTGTTCTTACAGTTACGAAATGTTTCTTGAGATTTAATCTAAACCTGCAGTGGTTTGAACCCATTGCCTCTTGCCCTGCCCTCTGTGGCAAGAACAACTTTTCTCCATGTTTTTTATGGCAGCCTTTCAAGTATTTGAAGACTGCTACCATGTCCCCCCCCTTAATCTCCTTTTCCAAACTAAAGATACCCAGTTCCTACAGCCTTTGCTCATATGGCTTGCATTTCATCCCTTTGATCTTTGCTGCTCACCTCTGGATCCTTTCCAGTTTCTCTACATCCTTTCTATACACTGGTGACCAAAACTGGACACAGTACTCCAGCCGAGGCCTAACCAGCACTGAATAGAGCAGTATCATCACCTCCTGTGACTTGCAACCAAAAATCGCATTTGCTTTTTTTGCAACAGCATCACATTGCTGACTCATGTTGAGGTTGTGATCCACCACAATCCCCAGATCTTTCTAAGCAGTGCTGCTGCCAAGCCAGTTATCCTTCTCTATTTGTGCATTTGGCTTTTCTTCCTTAAAGTGTAACACCTTACATTTGTCTTTGTTGGATTCATTTTGTCATCTACAGTCCAATTTTCCAATTTATCAAGATCCCTCTGAATTTTAATCTATCCTTCAAAGTGTTGGCAACCTCCCCAAGCTGTCTCATCTGTATGTTGGAGAGAGGGGGGAACACTAAGAATTAACTGACCTTACAACTGCTAAAGTACAGCCTTTCCCCTTGCTATGAAGTTTCTGCCCCTTAGCCCTCCCTTACCTAGGATTCCATGGCACGTTCCTACTCACTCATATCTCATCACTACTACTCCACAGGCAGTAACTGGAGCAACTGGAAAGGAAGCGAGGAGGAGGGGAGGGAATTACCAAAAACAGTGCAAACGATGTCATGAATCCTTCTTTCGTTAGCTCCCATGTGCCTCCATACTCCTCCTCGTCTATCTGTTGAAAGCTACTAAAATAGAGGTACAGGACGCCAGCATTGATCAGGCAGAATCTGGGGACAAAGATATTAGGAGCCATCATTTCCAAATTACAGGATAAAACCGTCTAATGATCTAATCAACATTACAGCCAAGGAGTAGGATGTTCTCCTCCTGTCCCCAGCTTGCTAAAGGCTCCAGTTCAAACTCTTCTACCTTCTGGAAAGAAAGCATGTAAGAGCAGATTCTCTCCAGTGCAGGGAATGTTAACTCTACCCACTTTTTCCCCAGCCTGTCAAGTGCTGGATCTACAAGTGCATCTATAGTCTGGCTTCATATAGTTGTAGCAGGGAATGAGTTCTTAGCCAAACCTAAGATTATCGCCATCACACTCTGCTAGTAGAGCACAGATTTGTGGCCCTATAGGCAGGGATTAGTAGTTAAATGCTCAGGAGATCACCAGCACAAAAGCTAAAACCCAAGGACTTAAATACAGTATCAGTCTCTTGGTCTCAGCACCAGTTAACTAAACCCAAGTCTAACAGAGCTCATCTCACCCTAAAAGACCCAGGGCCCAATCTGCTGTTTCCCTGTGACCGCACTTTATTGCCTGCTAGGTTAGTGTGCAGGTGATCCCTACAATCAGGTGCAGCATAGAGACAGGCCAGAGGGGGGAATCTAATGTGGCCTGGGCAGATCTGTACCTTGGACATTCTGTGCTCCTGGCAAGTGCAAAGGGCCACCGCAGCTAGGGTGTAACTTTGGGCAACCATCAGCCTGTCCCAGAGATCACACAAGCTCCAGTGCAGAGTTAAATCTGGCCTCAAGAGACTCAGGATTGGGACAACCTGGGAAGTGAAAACTTGCCTTCAAACAGTGCACTTCTTGCAAGGAGAGCTGTGTGGGATGAGAGGAGGGTGGGAAAAGACTGGAGCTCTGTGCCAGATGGAAGGCAGGAGTCCTGCCTTCCATGTTGCTCTTAAAAGAGAACATGCACAACATTTACCAGAGAACCTACAATAGTCGTAGTTGCATTAACTGTATCTGGCACATTAGGAAACTGTTAAACACAAGCTCTCCAGTGTGGAAGATTCCACTGTTTACCAAATATCAGCTTCAGTTACTTTGATAACCTTCCACACAGGAACTCATTTGCTCAAACAGCTGGGAGACACACTGAACTAGTAAGTGAACACAAGCAAGAACACAGTATTTCTCATCTGTTGTTAGTGTCATTTAGTTTTAACTATTTATAACAGGGACTGAAAAACAAGTTCTCCAGTGGTTAATATAAAGCTTTCCCTGGGGCTCTTACTCCTCAATTGCTGCAGAATTTAAGGTTTCAGTAACACAAAGTGTTTCTAGCCCTAAGAGTTGTGAAGATAATCTTCAAGATGCAAAATGATACAGCGTTTTCTTCCAGAGGCTGCAAACAGCCTCAATGTCTCTGCTGCTCGGAGCTTTCTCAGGTGGTTTCACAATGGTATTAATAAGACTAGTCAGGTTCAGTGCTACTATTATGAACCATGTGAGCAACAATGCAACTCTCCAGAATTGTATCAACGTCACACTGCTGCTGCTGGGAAAAATATGAGCACCAGCAGAAACAGGCACTGGAGAAGACACCCCCTGTGGTCAAAAACAGTCTGAAAGCGTAGAGAATCAGAGACTACCTTCTTTCCCCTTGCCTTCTTGCAGCAGCTAAGATGTCTGAGAGAGGGGAGGAGACAGAAAACTTCCCTTCCAGGACTTGGAGGGCTGTAAAGGTTTAAGTTTTTAAAGACATCAACTAGCCACAGGCAGACAGAAATATGAAGTCCCCCATCGGAACTGAGGGACAGCACCCCATATGAAATCCCAGTACTATTCCTCTTCAACACCTAGAGCACCGCCTCTGGTACCCCTCCCATTTTCTGTATTTACTTCTGTCTAGCAGGCTTGGTCCTTTAACTCATAGGTGGCTGGTAAACTTTCCAAACCCTGTTATAACATTTTTAATTAATTAGTTTGCTCACTATAACACTGTGATGCCTTTACTAAGAAGGGAACAAGGATCCCATACATTTAGGCAGATTAGAGGTTTTATTATACATATGCATGGATATAAATTAAAAAAAAAAGTTAATTTTGGATGCCCCTTCCCCTTACAATGATATTGAAGGTACAGATTTTGGTAAAATAGCATCTCTCATGAGAGGGACGAGAGAACAGCAGAAGACCCCCAAGAATGATGTTTTGCTTGTTACAGTTTACATTTTCTACTGTTTTGGAGACACCTTTTTGATTTCAAAAGGAACAAACATCCCTAGTGGGACTGTACAGAACACATTCTGCAACAAGGGTACTCAACTTGGAAGCTGCAAACAATTATCGGGGTCGTAACCACCCTGCCTTTCCCATACAGATCCCAATTACATGGGACAGGGGTCCAAGTATGGGGAAAAGGCATCATGGTATGGAAAATATTCAGAATCACTGCTCTAAAAGACAGAAATTGGACATTTCTCCAGTAAGTCCGAGATGTTTTTAAAGTAAAAAAACCTATTCAGAATAGAGGGGTGGAGGGAAGAGTTACAGGTGCCAATTGGCTCATGAGGTCACATGATTTATCATTTGAACTATGATACAGTATTTAGAGGAAATGTCAGACTTTAATGCATTTCCAGCACCCTGCTGCTTTAAAATAGACTAGAGATATTGTGACCTCCACATCTGAAAAAAAGAAAAATACATGTCAGATAAGAGGAAAGAAACCTTACATTGCTATTCCCACAAATCCCTTCAGTGGAACTACGCCCCAGATGACTCCCAAAATAACTGCAATGATCTGTCGGAACCAGTAGATCACGTCTAAAAACTCATCCTGAGGAGAGAGAAAAAACAGCAAAGTTTGATATCTCACATATAATATGTAGTTTAGATAAAACATTTATAAGAACCCCTCATGCAACTAACTTGGGAAAAAAATCAAGGCTCTGAACACAGATTGCTTTTCAAAAGAAAAAATATTTTAAGAAACAATATATAAAGTATTTGAAAGTAGCTAATGGCAATAGATGGATCCCACCCCTCTCTCCTTTTCTAAGTTCTGGCTTCAGTTTAGAGTTCTCCCACTGGTGGGACACACAGAGAACAGATCTTTAGTCCATTTGTTTTAGAATTAGATATTAAAAATGTTCGTAGCTCCAACTTTTCAGCTATTTATATTCTTTACCAGTTTTAAAAGCCTACATCATTCTTGAGTTCTTTCCCATCACCCACAAACAAATGTTGCCGGAAAATCAGCACTCTCAAGCAACCACAAATGACAGAAACAGGTGTGTATGAATCATGGAGATAAAAAATCATCATCAGCAAGGAAAGATTTTCATTTTGAGTCTCCATGGGACTGTTAAAAAAAGGAGGAGGGGGAGAATCAGTTATGAAAAAAGATTTAAAGTTCAATTCTATTCCAAAGAGACTAAAAATGGCACCTACTTAAACTGCATCCCATATCTGTATTCAGAGTCATACCTGAATAGCTGAGTGACAGTAATATATAACTTTCTATTCCTGTTCTCCTTGCAGAGATCATGAAGCTATGAACGTTTGTATTCTATTCTGCCACATACTTCAAATCAAAATTCAATTCTGCTCTCAAATACACCTTTGCAACTTCACTAAAGACAGGGAGCACTGGCATAACTTAGGACAGAATTTGGCCTACAGAATTTTTATTATGGGGTTGTAAAAGGTAGTTTGGGTTTCCACACTTCCCAGCATCTCAGCTTGTTTGAAGCCAATCAGGTAAAATAATGCATTAACACCCTCTCTCCATGCACTGATATTATATAGAAATCAATTTCTCCAAAAAGCTCAATATTTCTTATTTGAATGATGCAATCTTCATCATCAATTCACCTTCTATCATGTTCAGAGTCTATATATATATATATTTTTTAAAGAAACATTTGCACGCAGAAGAAAGATGCTCAGGTGACTCAACTGTGGCAGCATCCGCAGGAGCTCTAATGACTCCTTCGCCGTGTTGGCAGTGGCACCTCAAAGAAGTCCTTTTATTTGCACAAAAACTGACAAACAGCACTGAAAACTCAAGCCATTGTCCTGCTGATTGCGTTGTTACAACAAAAAGGTCGGAGTCACAGCTCGCTTGTAGCAAGAAATGCAAAAATGTCACAGTTTCAGCTAAAAATCACAGCCCACATTCTTCCAAATGTATTGTTATTTTTTTTTAATTGCTAAAATAAGTATCTGATTCAAATAGAAAAAATACTAATATTGATATATTTTTTTAATGTAAAATTATACTAAGGCTTATTTTAATAGGAATGTGTAACATGCCTAAATTACATGGTTTTACAGGTTTTCTGTTATCTCCAAATACAACTTTATACATACAGAAAATAACTGCTCTCGGCGTTACGAAAGCAGCCCTGCATTATTTACGCTCTGCTCCCATTTGGAAAATCACATCTCTGACTCTGCAAACACATATGCGGGAACTTAATTTACACATGCAAGTAGTTCCAGTGACTTCAGAAGAACAATTTATGTGCTTAAAGTCAGGTATATGCATCCATTTTGCAGAATCCAGGCCTTAATGTGTTGTTTTAATGAAAGCTGAAAGAAAACCACAACGAATTATTGAGTAGCCATGACATTTATAATTGAAAAAAATTGCAGAAGAGTTAAGCCATGACAGCATGACAGACACTCAGGGCTTGTCTTCACTACGAAGCACTGCTGCAATTGATACAGTGGCATAAATTTAGCGGGTCTAGTGAAAACACGTTCAGTTGATGGGAGAACACTCTCCCATCAATTTCTGTACTCTGCCTCAATGAGAGGCGGAAGCAATGTCGTCGGGAGAGCATTTCCCGTTGACATAGCGTAGTGTGAACCCTGCGGTAAGTGGATCTAAGCTACGTCGACTTGAGTTACGCTACTAACAACACGAATGGCATAGCTTAGATTGACCAGCAGCGGTAGTGTTGACCTGTCCTCAGATTCACCAGTTACGCTGTGCTACTCCCTAAATAGCCCAGCTGGATGACCATCATCTTACAAGAGATAACTAACATTTGGATGTTTCCTTTGGCTTATTCCTAGTTTTGATTTTTGGATTGTGCAGGTAGAAATTTGATTTAACTCTAAAACCGAGTCAATGAGCTGAATCCTGCTCTTAGTGACCTTTGTATAAATCCATAGTCCACTGTGGTCAATGCAGTTACTCTGGATTTGTACTGGTGTAACAGAGTAGACTTTGGTCCTCTAAATACGTAAGTTGTAGAACTCACACTGAACATTTGTAACCAGTTACATTCTAAGATCTGTACAACAGGAGCAAATAACCCTTTTAAACCAGTAGTCTAAACAAATGATTTACATAAAAGGGGCAACTGCACTCAGAATATGGAGTTGTATTCACTTGGGACACTCACAAAGTGACAATAAGACTAGCCTGATGTACAGACAGAGCGCAAAGCAAAAGGAAGCTGGAGATCTACTTATATCACCGCCACAGTATCTGAGCACCTCACAGATAATAAGTTCATCCTCACAGCACTCCTATGAGGTAGGAAGGTATTACTCTCATTTACTACAGATTGGGAATTAAGGCAGCGAAAGATTAAATGATTTGTTTTACAAAAATTACAGGGGAACTCTCTATTTTTGCAGTAGAGGTGGTACACATGACCAAATGAAACTCACCTAGCCTAAGGTCTGGTCTACAGTTTAAAAATTTGCCAGTACAGTTATGCCAGTCAGGAGTGCAATTTACCCCACTTCAACTGATATAGCTATGTCCTAAGGTAGACACAATCATAGCAGCAAAGAAGGCCTTCTGCCTGTACAGACTACCCTGTTCAGGTACCTGGTTTAAGCTATACTAACAAAGTAACTTTTGCTAGTACAAGCAGTCTCTCCACTAGGAGGGTTTGCCAATATACCACTACTGCCAGCAAGCATTTTTAAGCCTAGACAAGTAACAGCAAGCACTAGAGCAGAGGTGGGCAAACTATGGCCCGCGTGCCACATCCGGCCCACCCAGAGGCTAGCCTCCCGGGCCAGGAGCTCTGCCCGGCCCCCGAGCTCCTGCCCGGCCCCCGAGCTCCTGGCCCGGGAGGCTAGCCTCTGGCCGCTCCCCCACTGCTCCCCCTCCCTCAGAGCCTCAGCTCGCCCAGCCGCCAGTGCAATGCTCTGGGCGGCAGGGTTGTGAGCTCCTGGGGCAGCGCAGCTGCAGAGCCCAGCCTGACCCTGGTCTCTGTGCTGCGGCGTGGCCGCGGCAGCATGGCCCGGATCCAGCTGGGCAGCGTGGCTGTAGCGCTGCCAGCCACTGGTGCTCCGGGCAGCGTGGTAAGGGGGCAGGGAGCAGGGGGGCTTGGATAGAGGGCAGGGGAGTTCGGGCGGTGGTCAGGGGGCAGGGGTGTGGATAGGCGTCCAGGCAGGTCGGGGGGGGG